ACTCTGTTTTATAGCACAACTTACCAGTTCTTCTTGGTCTTGAATGAGCAGCAAAATGGCTCCTTTTCTAGTGCAGTCAGATAGACTGTCCTTCCAAACACTGGTCTCTTGAGAAAACTGTAGGCATTTATTTCGGTGTGGCATCCAGTCATTGGGGCACGTTAGCTGAACTGGAGTCTCTGAAGTGAGGAGCAGACAGGATAAATTTTTACCCTGCTGCACAAACAGTAGTTGTTTTGCTAACACACACTTTTAGTAACGTGCTGTGAAGACATTATTGTTATGATGAAAAGAAATGCAAACAACAAGGAATTCATTTTCTTTTCTATCAATCAACTAGACAGAGCTAACATTAGCATATTTGTTTAAACAAATATTCTATTAGGATATTTTTAAAGTTATTGGTCTAGTGTGATGTGATGGCATTGGAGGCAGCATGGCAAAGTGATTAATATCTCAGGTGTCAAGGTTACATTGTTTCAAAGAAGTTCCCAGCAGTATCAACTACCAGTCATGAGACCTTGATACGTTTCTATACTGCAATATTTTCTAACATAAGACCATGGTGCTGTCTTCATGGGTGAGAGTTTGCAGCCCTGGCAAATAGCAAATGTCAGCTGCTATTCTTGGGAAAGTCAGGCTGGAAAAATTACCTGCTGTGGAACAATGGTTTTACCCTGTAAAGATTTGCTTCTTGTACTTGTTTAATAAAGTGCTGATTGGCCAGTAGCCAGGCAGGAAGTAGAGGTGGGGCAATCAGGCAGGAAGTAGAGTCAGAGCAATGAGAACAGTAGAATTCTGGGAAGAGGAAAGAATTCAGTCTGCAGTCATCACCCAGACATAGAAGACACAGATGAGAATACCTGTGGTACCAAACCACATGCCCAAAACAGACAAGAATTATGTGTTAAGATGTAAGAATTAAAAAAAAATGTCTGAGATAATAGGCCAACTAGTTTATGATTAATGTAGACCTATGTGTGTTTCTTTGAGACAGAAACCTTGGTCAATGATTACCTGTTGAGCTAGCCGCAATCCTTGGAATATCCACTCTGCATTTTTCTATTGATGGCTTTTGTATTAAGACTTGCACTAGCAAAGAAGAAAACAAATAGAGAGGATTAAATACTGAAGAGAATGGTGGAATGGGTGTTTTTCTTCCCACTTCAGGAAATCGAGTTATTTCAGCAAAGCTGACCATAAGGACTGAGGGTAAAAGTTCAGCCACTGAGGAACCAGTTTGCAGACAGAATGTGTAAACAAAGAAGAAAAGCACAGAACATGTGATTCCAGAC